CGGACGGCATTAGCGCTGGAGTTGGTTGGGTGGACATGATTTTCCAGCGCGTTTGGACATAGTCTGCCTCGGTGGAAACGAGGCGGCGATACGAAATGCAACGCAAAAATTTGAGCAAAAACAGACCGCTTTTCGGTTGCACCCATATCCATCTTGCGCCACTAGATGTTCTCTGGTTGCACCGATTGTCCATTGGGCTTACCGTTTGCCAGCGGCGGCGGTCAGACGTGTGATGCCGTAACTCGATTGTCCTTCAGGTGTTCCCAGTGATAACGTTCTACATCCGAGCGTTGTCGCTCTGCGCTGGGTCAGTTACGGTTGGTTACCAGCCAGATAGTGGCCAGCTCCATAGGCTTCACTAGGATACAGGTCGGTATGGGGCTCTCCGCAGGTCATTGGTGGCGAGGTGCCAGGATGGCCGCGCCTTCCGGAGTCTGGGTCAGCCTCTTCCTATCGGAGAGAGGGATGGACTATTTTGCTCTCCGATTCCCGGTCTGTCCCGGTGAATTTATGGTCCTGTTAGATCGGCTCTTTGTATTTCTTTCCTTCCCGAGCATTACCTTTGCGTATTCTCGGGGGACTAATCCTCCAGAGTGGCGTTTTCTAACCAGTGATGAAAGTAGTGACAAAAATGGAAATCTCCTGCGCGCATGGGGAGAAAAACTAACCGCTGTTTTTTTCGGAGGAATTAGGGTTTGAGGTGCTCTTGTCAGGGTCATCAGCTTTTTGGGTTGGCAACGCATCGATGTTGCTAGTGCGCCCCAAAACATTGGTATTAACAACGCTTGTTATAGTTTGAATGTTACTAACTTCGTGTGAATCTTTCGGCGCAAGGGTATCATAAGCTATATCCACGCTACAGCGTGGATAATTCAAAATGTGCTGAGATTGTGCGCCAAAACGCCACGTTTTCTGCTGCCGGCAAGCGCGGTCGGACCTTTCTACAGTTGCTGGCCGCTGTGCTGACGAGGACCCGACGCCGTTGGTCCCAACCCTGAATGCGCGCCCTGCGCCCGTGCCTGCGTCGATCGCTTTCAAAAGGCCTGGTCCTTTCAGCACGTGGATCATCAGGGTCTGCCATGCGTGTTGTGTGGGAGAAATCGGCAGGTCACGGTCATGTTTGTTCATAGCCATGCTTGTGATGTGTGCTACGTTTTTAACGCGAAGTAGCCTGGCGGCATGCACACCTTACACAATGCAGCCAGCGGGGCTCTCGAGTAGCCCCGCGAAAGCGTGCTCACACGCGGTACGGCTGCGCGACCGTAATTGCGTGCTGAACATGAATCGCCCGCCCGACACGAGTGGAAAATGACTGAAATCATTGGATTACAATCACGGAAAGAAACCCGAACGGCTTTGGCAGCATCCGTTTAATGCGTGCCGTTATTTTGTGGGCGGCCTCCGACGGTGCGCCAGGGAGGGTTACTCGGCGGGGCGCCCACCCACAACCGCCACGCGACGTGGCCATCCCGGCCGGGCACTCGCTGTTTGTGTCCCAATGTGTCATGGGTAACCGCGCGGGCATGCAGCGACAATTTGCCGTTTGCTCGAGAAGCCCGCAGGAACGTGGAGAGGACGTGGAGCAGAGAATGCACTGAGTTATTTTTTTGGCCATATTCGACGGTCTTCGTGCCATGTCGTTGCGCGGCCGTCGCACGAGGCCAAGCCCAACTGAGCCGCGCCGGCAGCGCACCTGCAGGCGTTCTCTGCCCTGCTGATGCTGGTCGTCACAAAGCCGGTGCTCTCGAACATCGCCTCCGCCACGCACACGTATCAGGCAGGCGACCGAGACGATCGCCCGTCTGCAGGCAGGTTCAGCCCGCGGTGTCCCGTCCCGCTGCCCGCCTGTAGGCAGGTTCAGCCTCGGGGGTCACGTCCCGCTGCCCGTCTGCAGGCAGGTTCAGCCTTGGGGTCACGTCCCGCTGCCCGCCTGTAGACGGGCTCAGCTTCGGGGCCTCGTCCCGCTGCCCGTCTGCAGGCAGGTTCAGCCTCGGGGTCACGTCCCGCTGCCCGCCTGTAGACGGGCTCAGCTTCGGGGCCTCGTCCCGCTGCCCGTCGGTAGGCAGGTTCAGCTTCGGGGTCCCGTCTCGCTGCCCGTGACCACGTTGCGCTGTGTGGTCTCGGTCTGTTGCGCGCCTTCTGCCAGTCGCCGGTGCTGCTTGAGGGCGAGCGCCTGGCCACGCCCGGCTCGGGTCAGCGTGGTGTCCAGGCCCGGACGGCTGCGAGCTGCGCCGCGACCGCGCTTGGGGCCGCCAGTCGCGAATCTTGATCTCATCTCAATCGCCTCCCAAAATGGTCTAGGTACGTGCGGCGTTTCGTTCTGCATTACACCCGCAAACATGCTCTGGAAACATGTGACATGTAAGTAATGTGTTGATCTCTTATGACGTGACCTTGACCTCTTTTCCTAGCATCGGTATAATGCTTCATGGACTGTCTTGCCCTGGCTTTGAAAACTGGAAAGGAAAAGGGAAGTGACGAGGAAATTAGTTGGAGATAATCGACCCCCGTGGTTTTGTTTTTTGTTTTTTTGGAATTCTAAAACCAATGATGCAAAAGGTGTGTTTGAATTTTGATTCTGTTCGATCTTACATTGACCCTCAAATGCACGTTTTGAACCGCTTACTGGAAACATTTTGGTTGGCGTATGACCTGTTCAAATCAGACGATTAGCCCCGGAGATGGACCGAAGATAAACATTCCGTGAGGCGCGCCGGGCTGCTGGTCCCTGTAGTGACGCGGGGTTAAGAAGCAAAAAGAAGAAGACCTCTTTAGGCAATAACTGGAAACCAGTTAGACTACTGTATGCTATTTATTTTAATTCCACCGCATAGGAGAGCAATCCAAAGCATGATTGACCATGGGGGAGTGACAGAACATAATTATTTCTACAGTTTGAACTTATTGGAGGTGGGCCGCGTAATCTGTACAAGGGTGACAGTTCCTGCCGGCCCATGGACGGTAATCACCGAAATGGGGACAGTGTTCAATAAAATTTGCGTTTTGTGTTTCCAGGGCACCGCTACCATTTAAATTACATGAATATTACATCTGTGTTTGCTCGCAACATTCAAGACCCGTGTATGTGAACCTTTTCGCCGGTATTCAGTTTCTGACGCAGGGTATAGGTATTTTGTTTGCGTACTGTTATGCGTGGATCGTATTTATTTCAAATTGGTGCGCGCTTTGTCGTAAGCACGCCCATCTCTGCAACGAATTTGAGCATCGAAAATCCTGAGAGGAGATGAGGGTCAGCCTTACCAACTGTTTCGATATATATCTGATGACTATGCGCATGAAATACGACGCCGGTGCCTGCGCTTGATTGGATATGTCCAGATTTTTGACGGTCGATCTCGCGGGATGGTAGATGGCGCACTTGTTCCATCGCCGGAGGGAGCGGCGCAGTCGGTGTGACCTCCTCTGTTTCAAATGGAAAACCGCACAGCGTCGCTGGAGCATATGTTATCAAACATTGCACATGCTTGACCTCCGTGCCTAGAACCAGTCGGCCCCGTATCCCGATCGGTGGGAGTGCCTGTCTGCCGCTGTTCCGCCGGTGGCGGGGTGAGGGTTCCATTGGCCGGTGGCAGCGGCTGCTGAAGGTCAGAGCAGGTCAGATGGCAGGGCGGGCTGTACTGAGCGTTGCGGCACGTTAAGCTTTCGGCTCGAGATTCTGCTGTTGAACTGGGATTTCATGACCGTATGATTAGATATTTCTGATCACAGAAATCCTTCCAATGAGCGTATTCCGACCAAAGTTATAAATGGGTATACAATTCTTATAACCCGATATCGTCCAAGTTAACTGAAAAAATGCACGGCTTTTGCTTTTGTCGGACAACCAGAAATACATGAAACGCTGTATTTGTAAGTTGTGCATTTTGATTTCAGCGCACAGGGACCGCTCTTTTTAAAAAATAATTAGAGGAGGGGAGAGGGTGTTTAGCATGCATTTTTAGTTTTTTGTTTTCAAATAATTGGTTCTATGTGTCGCCACCGACCTGTTATCAATAATATGAAAGTATATGGGCGGAAGGTTATGGTTCTAAAGACTGTACCAAGTGTACCACCACCAGCTAATAGGATGGGATTCATGAAAATGGGGCAGCATTCAACGAAATTATTGTGTTTGTAATATGTTAATTACAAAACACGCTCATGCGTTTACCAAATCCAAGATGTTTTTATGTGGACCTCTGCGTTGCGATTTAATGTCCAGTATCAGGGAAGAGATCCCGCCTATTTGTAGATCGTGTTGTCATTCTGCATACTGTATACGCCATGCAGTGAATAGCTAAAGATGCTCATCGTCGCAACGAATTTAGTTACTAAGATGCTTAAAAGGGAATGGCGCAGTGTTGCTAATCATGCTGCCGCCCGAAGAAGAGAAGGGTGTGTGGCGTTGCTGATCATGCCGCCACCCGATTCTGGTTCAAATCCACTTCTCTAGGAAGCACCCTGGCGGCGTGAGGCTCCCCTCAAGTGTCAGGGACCCACGTTTTGCTCCGTCTCGCGTCTGTATCTTGCGTATTTGCGCCTCATCCTGGTGTCTACGCCGAAGCTTGGTCCGCCCTGTCACGTGCTCTCGTCCCGTGTTCCTCCCACGACCGATGGTCTTCTTGTGCCCTGGCCACTGCTCCGTCAGGACGGGGGTCCTGGGAAAGCGTCCTTTTCCAACAAAAATCGGCTTTCAAACTCGTGGTCCTGGTCCCGGGTCGTCGTCGTCTTCGCACAGCCCTGACCAACTCCTGCCTCGCGTCTCTGGCCCGGTTCCTGCCCTTTCCATTGTCTGTATCCCTGCCGGGCCCTGCGCCCGTGTACCGTATCCCTTGTCCCGTGTCCTGTGTCCTGGTGTCCTGTATCCTGTGTCCTGTATCCTGTGTCCTGTATCCTGTGTCCTGTATCCTGTCCTGTGTCCCGTATCCCGTGTTCCCGTGCCCCATATTCCGTGTTCCGCGTCCCGTGTCCCGTGTCCCGTGTCCCTTGTCCCGGTCCCGTGTTCCGCCGGTGCCGCTGACCGTCGCGGCGTCCCTCTTCCGACAGGTGTTCTCTGTCATGGCCATATCGGGTCTTATGAACAACACGCTGCGCTGGTCGGCCAACCTCAAGGAGTGTTTGGAGGCGGTGCTGGGTCTGGGACGGTATCAGGTCAGCGGCTCACTGTCTGGTGTGGGGCCGTCCCGGTTCCGTTGTCGTCTCGCGACGTCTGCTTGTCGGGGCGGTGAGGCCAGGGCGCCGGACGGTGCGTGTGCCACGTCCTGACCAGGTCAGCGGTGACGTAACGCCGGAGGGGAACCGCCGTGGAGGCTAGCGGCCGCTCGTGTTGCATGCTTATGGGCTGGAGAGTTGGGAGGAGTGTCAGGCGGGGATGTCAGGCGGGAACTTGGGCTGGGGATGTCGGGTGGGGGACCGGCCGGGGAGTTGGGAGGGATGTCGGGCGGGGGTATGGGCCGGGGAGTTGGGCGGGGCGGCGGATGGGGGGTCAGGTGGGAAATTTGCATCGCTGTGTCTTATAAGCTGGTGCGTATGGCACCAGCTTACGCGTACCGGCCGAGCGGGCTCAGTCGAGCCAACGGCCCGGCAAATAACCAGTCTAAGAAAGCACTGAACTCAGAGGACCCGTGCTCCACGCGCCAGTGGAGCGGGTGATTGTGTCCGAGAGCTTGTAGCGTGCCGAGCAACGTGATGATACGCCCGCCCCGTGCCAGCCTCACTCTCTCATGGCCAGTCGAGCGTTAGCCGTCTCAGACGAGCCGAATCACCGAATACGGTGTTTGGGTCACGACCCCTGCGTGGTCCGGCACCGTGGTGTCCGGATCCTGATCACGTGTGCCATAAGTTATCCATGGTTTAGATGTCGAGCGCGCCGCCGACCGAGGCAGCAGCAGGACAGGATGTATCACATAGAGCGATGCGGACTTGTGTTCGAGTGTCGGGACCCGAACCAGCGGCGTAGCGCGCACCGGCCCCAGTCGCCCTGCCAACCGAGGCAGCAGCAGGACAGGATCTGTCACATGGAGCGATGCGGACTTGTGTTCGAGTGTCGGGACCGAACCAGCGGCGTAGCGCGCACCGTCGCCAATCGCACCGGATGCTTTACATCTGCACCCGCATTCAGTCACATCACTCGACCGTCCACCGCGCTGTCGCTTTACTGCCGGATCGGACGAGGACGATTGGTTCGCATCGGTCCTCGATGTCTTGGCGGCCACACTGCTTTGCATGGCTTTGGTGTGCATGTCTTGACATTCGGCGCATGGAGTGCTTTTTTGACGCTTTGCCAGTGCTGAGCCGCCGTTGGGCCCTCCGTCTCCGGCCGGTCGCCGCTGGTCACGTAGCCCGTGACCTGTGTCCCGCCAGTGACGGGATGCGTGGCTGTCTGGCGCTCAGAACGGCTTGGGAGGCCGGCCGACGGCGGCTGGTGCTTGACTGCGTGGTCGGGCGCAGCGCACGCTTTGGTGGTGTGTCAGCCGTATGGTTATCACGTGACGTATGTTCAGTTATGCGTAGTGGTCTTTAAAGACCTTGTTATTCATGAACAGTTTCGCATTTGTTCTTGCATTCACTGATGGTAAGGATGGTCGGGTTTGTGGACTCATCAACGATCGACATGGGCTCATCAAGCCCGTTTTCCGCACGGGCGCTAAAAGCTGTTGATAGCACGCGTCTGACTCGTTCCAGCTCCCCTCATAGTCGTCCGTCGTTGCCTTTTGCTCGAGTGAGGCCGCGGACGAGCTTCGTCGTCGTCCCCCCCCCCCCCGCTCCCCTTCCCCCGCCGTTGACCCGCTCCCCCCGGGCGGCAGAGCGTGCTGCTGATGGAGGACCAGCAGCCGTACGTGCAGGTGCCGGACGACATACGCCAGGCGGTGGTGATCCAGAGCGCCACGCTGGGCTGGGACGCCGTCACCGGCGAGCAGGCGGCCGGCCGACCCGTCCGGTGGGTGGCCGGGGCGCCGGCCCTGCCCCGCCCCGCCCTGGTGTCGGCCCGGGCCGCGGGTAGGAGGCGGTTGGACCGTGCCTCTGGTGTGGTGTCGCGGTGGAGGAGAGCGGTACGGTGCCTGGTACACTGGCGTCAGGCGGGGGTCTGGTGTTGTCGCGGCGCGCCCGGTGTGGGTCAGGCGCGCCACGCTCGTCTGGTGCCGGCGCGGTGTCTCGGTATGAGGCGGGGGTCTGGTGTCGCCGCGGCGCGCTCGGTGCGGGTCAGGCGCACCACGCTCGTCAGGCGCTGGCGCGGTGTCTCGGTATGAGGCGGGGGTCTGGTGTCGCCGCGGCGCGCTCGGTGCGGGTCAGGCGCACCACGCTCGTCAGGCGCTGGCGCGGTGTCTCGGTATGGGGCGGGGTCTGGATCGCTGCAATTACCGCGGCGCCGGCGTCCGTCCGTCAATAGGCACGGTACGTGCGGGGTGTCAACATACGAGGAGGTGTTGAGCGGCGTCAGATCTTCGCCACGCCGGCTCGGTTGTCGGCGTTTGCGCTGCTGTGACCCGGGAGCCTGGATCGGTGGCCCGCCGGTGTCGCCGATAAGCCGGCGGTGGTGCGGGACGCGCCGGCCACCTGACGGGCCGCCGGCGCTGTTTGCAGGAGCGCTAACGGTGCGCCGAGTGCAGGGAGCGACGCGGCCGAGATGGAGTCGCTGCAGCCGGCCCCGACGATCGGCGCCAGGGAGGTGCTGCTCGACATCGACCTCGTCGTGCCCAAGGTAGACCAGTAGGCGAGCGTTGTAAGGGATGGGCTGCCGATGAACTTCCGTTGTGTGTGTTGTTCCACGAGTGGAAGATTGCTGTTCCAAAAGCAGGTTTTCGACCCCACTGAAGCCCGAATTACTGAAGTCCTGCCACCTGTGCTCTTGTTCCTCGGCTGCAACGCCACGGACATGTCCGCGAAGGAAGCACAGCCATCGCGCACTTACACCTCAAAAGACCCACGCTAAGGCTGAGCCTGCACGATTATGACATCTGGCGTTGAACTGGTGCAGTGCTGCTGGATGTAGGCCGGTACCAGAGGCTGACGTGCGGCGTGATCAGGGTACGGACAGTTCGTTGTGGGTATAGTGTATGGTTCCTGCCAGGTACCGCTCTCATTTAACATTGGCCTTCAGAAGCCTGCGCTCGCTGTCGAGTGATGTCTTCGGCAGAAGTCCTTCAGCACAAATTGTGTTCCGTATTGTTTCTGTCTCTGGGCGTGTTCTGCTGGCCTCTGCGTGTCTCTCGTGGGTAATCTCATGTTTTGTGAGGACACGAGGCCCTCGTTTGACTCATCACTGCCTGTACGTGGCCCGTGGCGCGGCCTGTGACCACCGCCGCCGGCTGTGGTCCGTGCAGGGCACGCTGGTGGGCATCTGCGGCGCTGTCGGCGCCGGCAAGTCGTCGCTGCTCTCGGCCGTGCTCGGACTGATGCGACTCAAGTCGGGCCAGGTGAGCTCGCGCGGCCGGCAGGGCAATGGAGCGGACTGAGTGGGACTGGCGGACTGCGGACTGGACAGCGCCGCCAGATGGATCTACCGTCGGTGGGCTGTGGACTGGACTGGTGGACTGGGGACCGGTGGACTGTGGGCTGGTGGACTGTAGACTGGTAGGCTGTGATCTGGTGGACCGTGGACTGATGGATGTGGACTGGACGGCTGCGGCCGGGCGCCGTCACCAAGCCAGGGCTGGCTTCGGGCCGCCTAGGGCCACTTCATTACGTACTCGAGGCCAGTTGATGACAGCGGCTGATGTGACTCGGACGGAGGCTGATGTGACTCGCGGCGGCGGCGGCGCTGTGACGTGATCATGCTGAGTGAGGAACGCTTCTGATGCCGCACGTGCATGCTGCCCGTCGTGTACCCTGGATCACGTGATGTCCGCGTCTGGCTGTAGGTGGCTTTGGATGGGTCCTGCGCATACGTCAGCCAGCAGCCCTGGATCCTGAACGCTACACTCAAGGAGAACATCCGCTTCGGGCACAGCTTCGACGCCAAGAGGTAGCCGATTCTAGGCTGGTTCCACATTGTGCCGATGGTATTTTCCACCCGCCTTAGCAGCAATTAACAACTGATTGAATGCCGAGGTGGCGGCGCGGCTCTGGTGTTTTTGGTCGTCGTTACGTTGGGTTATTGCGCAGACCTGCCATATGGAGGTCAGTGAGCTGTTTGATTGGGTGTTTACGGTGGCTCGACTCTGCGGCTGAAGGCTGCGACTCATGCGGCACCCGGTTAAAGCGGATGGGAGGGGCCCGCGACCTATCAGTCTTAGGCCATCACACTTGAGGGCGAAGGACGAGGAGTGGGTGGGCGACCGGCTCGCTCTTGGTGGGGTTAGTTCGAGAGGCCCTGCCTTTCCCTCTCCTTTTTCGTCAGGTGTATTTGTTTTCGATGTAAGTTGTGCTGTATCTTAGGCCGGCTTTTCTCAGCATGCCTGGTGGGCGTGAGGACGTCGCGGATAAATCCTCCGGTTCGCAGTCCCATACTGCTGTCACTGCTGCAAGGTGCCTCGCTGCGCCGTCGCCATTGTCGTTCAGTTCCTCACCGTGCCGGCATCGATGTACGGTGGTCACCTCACCGTACTTGCGCCCATGCGTGCCAGACACTCGGTTCGTCAGCGCCGCCTGCAGGCGTGGCGCGCCGCACGCCATCTGTCCGTAGGTACCTCACGGCGTCTGCACCCCCGCCTCCCTCCAGGTACTTCATGGCTCTGCGGGCGTGCTCGCTGCACGATGACGTCACCACGCTGCCCGGCGGCGACGAGACCGAGATCGGCGAGCGGGGCATCAACCTGAGCGGCGGCCAGAAGCAGCGTGTGGCGCTGGCGCGCGCCCTCTACGCCGACCGGTCAGTGGCGCAGCCTACGTTGCTGGATATGGCCAGTCAGAGACTCCCTCCCTTCGGTTGTCTGAGGGTGCCCGGTAGGTGGCACATCTCGCGGCTTTAGACGACCAGCGGGGGGTGATTCTCTCCTCGTTCGATGTAACCGGCCAGAGGTGACCCTCCCCTCGTTCAATGCGACCGGCCAGGGTTGACCCTCCCCACCTTTGATGTGACCGGCTGGGGGCGACCCACCCCTTGTGCGCTGTGACCGGCCAGGGGTGACCCTCCCCACGTTCGATGTGACCGGCTGGGGGTGACCCACCCCTTGTGCGCTGTGACCGGCCAGGGGTGACCCTCCCCACGTTTGATGTGACCGGCTGGGGGTGACCCACCCCTTGTGCGCTGTGACCGGCCAGGGGTGACCCTCCCCACGTTTGATGTGACCGGCTGGGGGTGACCCACCCCTTGTGTGCTGTGACCGGTCAGGGGTGACCCTCCCCACCTTTGATGTGACCGACTGGGGGTGACCCACCCCTCGTGCACTGTGACCGGCCAGGGGTGACCCTCCCCACATTTGATGTAACCGGCTGGGGTGACCCACCCCTTGTACGCTGTGACCGGTCAGGGGTGACCCTCCCCACCTTTGATGTGACCGACTGGGGGTGACCCACCCCTTGTACGCTGTGTCCGGTCAGGGGTGACCCTCCCCACCTTTGATGTGACCGGCCAGGGGTGACCCTCCCCACGTTCGATGTGACTGGGCAGGGGTAACCCTCCCCCCCCGTTCAATGTGACAGGCCAGGGGTGACCCTCCCCTCGTTCGATTTGACCGGCCAGGGGTGACCCTCCCCTCGTTCGATGTGACCGGCTTGTTGATAGCGGTTGGTTTGGTCCTTCAGCAACTGGTGGGTGTGGCCCTCGGTCGTCGAAGGCGATCGGTTGTTGACTTCATTGTGTTCGTGGAAGATGATTGTACGGCGTGATCTCCTTCTATGCCGGCGGGGGGGGGGGGGAGAAGTGGACCGCTTAGGAACAACGCCTGCTCCATGGCTGGAGATGGACAGCTGTGATACCCCTTGATATGTCGGAGACGTGCTGTCAGTTGTACTCTTTCCGATGCTGGACGCTCATTGCGAGCATTTATCTCTTCAACTAGACGTCGGCAAGTACATACCTTTGCAACACCGGCCGTTTACCTCTAAGACAGCCGAAGGACTAATGGAGGGAAAAAGAAAGCCGCATGACACCATTTTGTTATTAAGGACGCCGGAGTAGCGCTGTTGTAAGTTTTACGTGGCTGAAATCCATTATTGCTACTACTAGGGTGCAGGTAGCGTGGTGGTTAACGCGCCTGCGTCTGGAAAACCATAGATACGGGGGTTTGATCCCCGTGGTGCCCGCCTTTCCTGCCAGGGTGAGAGGAAGCGATGCCATACAACCTCAGCAGCTGAGTACGTCGTAAAGCCCCAATGACAACAACATTGTCGCTACTAGGAGACCGACGTGTACTTCACAGGGTAGAAATTTGACGAGAGTGTCTTCCGTCGGCTCCCTGCGAGAAGGCCCAAACGTTGCTAAAACCGGCGACAAAATCCCGCTATGTATTGGTGTCATTCAGGTGGCACGCTGGGCACATCTGCACCGGACTATAATGCCATTCTTGCGGAACTTATCAGATTACCGTTCCGTCGGTCGCAGGCAAGGCAGGTCATCAGTGTAAGCATTCTCCCTTGCTCCGGCTGAGCGCTGTGAAATCAATGACGATGACAAGTGACAGGTTAAAGAAGTGACAGCACCAACGGCAATACGTCCGCCAGAGCTACTGGAGCTGCTGGTGCTGCCTGAGTTTTGAAGGTAACCTGAGGTGATTCTCCCCATGTGGAAGCGCATGCCTGGCATTCGTGATAATGATCGTGGCGCCATGGGCGTGCAGTGGCCATGATCGACCCTCACTGTACCAGAAGATACCGGGTACAGGCGAGGTGCCGCCCAATACACGGCAGGCTCTGAGCCTGCCTGCATTAATCTGTCAGTGGTAGCCGCCTGCTTCAAAATGTGAACGTCATTGCAGGGTCCGTATGGGCACGGCCCTCAGCCCCAGTTCACATGCTACAGTCCCAGTTTGTAAGGGCACGGCTTCCACCAGATCAGGTCCGGGGCTGTCCAGTCACGTCATCGGCTCGCACGGTTCTTTACGAAACTGCCCGTATAAACCCAACAGAAGGTTCGAATGAACCCAGCAATGACACCCGAACCCTCAGCGATGTGAACGCCGACTGGAGGAGGCAAGGGTTTGGTTAAAGTCAGTGTTTCGCTTTCCACACGCGTTCGGGAAAGTAGGGCGTCAATTTGACCCCCGAAGGTTTTTGCATAATAATTTCTGAGCGGCGGCGTGTAGCCGCGCCGAACTGTGCATAGCTATAAGCAACTGAATAATGCATCATTTGGCTTAAAAATAGATGTACCTTGTAAGGTCGCTGACCTATGGCCTATGGCTGGTCAATGTCAGGCGGCGGCAGTCCGCAACAGGGACCGCAACAGACATGTTGCATGGACTTTAAAGGAGAGAGAGAAAAGTACCTTATTGAAGTTTCAAAATCAAAACGATCTATGCTTTTGTTCACCATGACCTTGAAAAGGTCACTGCTTTTTGAGGAGCATCAGTGTCCTTTTGCTTAGAATAGGTATTTAGGTTCGAGGTGGTTACAGAAAGAGGTGTGGGGTCACTTTGAACACCAACGTGGAATTTGATCTTGCTTGACCTTATTTCACCCGAATGACATGACCTGGGAACCCCAAACTGTGACATAAGTGAGTTCACAGGCCAACCCACCTCATGAATTCGATGCCTAGCTTTCTCAGTTTCGATATCTCGGGGGGTCAAGTTCCCTCCCCACCTGATTGAAGGTTATTCAGCTGATCGCCCGGGCGTGTGTTGAGGTTTTCGGAAAGGATTAGATGTTTTAACTGTAAGGACTTTTAATTAGAGATGGAGCATCGTCAGACGGCAAACGCAGAACGTGGTATGGGAGGTGTTATTTTTTCAAAATGCCTGGATCTGCGAGGTTTGTACAGCGAGAGATTTGGCTCTATTCCGTCTCACCGCGCGTGACGTCATATTCAGCCAATCACCGGCCAGCCGCGGTGGTCAGCTGCCAGGCCGTTTGTTCTTGGTTTAGTTTTTCGTAATCACTAACTGTTACGTATAGTCAGGCTTGCAGTAAGCTGATGAAGTAATAGCGTTGAAACCCAGAAGCTGTGCTTGGTTGGACTTTGTAGTTACGGTTATCAATCCCTCCTTGTGCTGCAGTCCAATGATTCCAGTTTTATACCCCGGATACGAGGGCCAAACGTGCCATTTGATCTGCAGGGAATTAAAGCCATTCACACGTATCGGGCCGCTTAAGTCCCGCCAGAGATCTCGGGAGTCACCGATCGTGAGCATTTCCAACAGTCTGTCTGACAACCAAATAACAGCTTGGATGTAGGTGTCATTTCGCCCCCATCGTTTTCACGCACAAGGAAAGGCGCTGTCTTGTATTATGACTGACGTCCGCCCCGGTGGCGTAGATAACGGGAGGGGGAGTGTTTTGAGATAATCCTCCCCTGAACTGGACTCCTCCTGGGGCTGAGGGTGAAGTGCTTCTGGTGTCATTAGCTCGCCCTGGCTTAAACGACCCTCTATGCTGCGATTTGACCCCCGCCGGGGCGAAATCCAGGCCACACCACTGGCCTGCGTAGGTCATACCAGCACCCCTGAGCTTCCTGCGTGTGCGCCTTATGCCGACGCTGCGTCACGTTCTGTAGCAGAACGCCGGCTGGGCGGACAACGGATCAGCCCTTGTGGACGGCCGCCAACGAAAGTGCACGCCCGCGGCCGCGCCGACCTTGTGGCAAACTTAGCATACCTGACCGCCAACGCGGCCTCATTTGAATTTCAGAAATCGATGTTATGCGGAGCTTTGCAAATGAGCGGCGGTTACGTGCCAGCCTTGCCGGACACGTGGGTGTTGCCGGCCGCAGTGCTAAGCCTCGGTATTAAGCCAGTCAAGACGGGACCCGGCGCTTTAACGCGTGGGCGAGAGGAATGCCAAGAACATGGCTATGATTGGTGCAGTATCAGCTCAGCAGCGTTGGTTTCTGTCTCGCACAGAACACACCGTGCGAAGCAGCTTTGGTGCACGTCTCGCACGGAACACGCTGTACGTGTGCAGGGTTGTGCTAGACACTGCAAGCAGACCTTGATTAGATTCGACACCAGATTAGTGGGCGCTGCAGGATGAATGCTGTTCTCTTGAGAACGCAGCAGTTACCGAGTCTACAGTGTATTCTAGCACCTTTTCCTAAATTCCGTACAGGCATCAGGCGTATTGGAGATGTCCTGATCACCCTTTCTAGAACGAAGTTAGCACTTATTATGAAAAGGTGTGCATTCGAACACAACACACAACGACGGCAGAGCAACTGGAGTATTGCCAAGTCTCAATGGTTTATTCAGTCGACCTCACCGTAACGACATGGGCCCCATTGCTACCACATCTAAGAATGCCATCACATCTGATGCCACATTTAGTAGTACCACCATCCTTTCATTTAGCTCCGTGGGCACACCAAAACTTCGAGGAATGCTTGCGGCACAAATGTGACGAGAAGGAGAAAATCTGCGAATCAGAAGGCATGGGGGCAAGTTTCAACACATTTCACTCCGAAAAATATTTTGTGTTGCTGTACCCAATGTTTTTTAAGCGGCTGCAGCCGTACAAAACGCTCCTGGCACATTCGAACGACATGTCACGTGATTTCCAGCTTCTTCGTCTTTCGTTGACCTGCCACGAATCAGCGCTGTGATACCTTTCCTTTTGTGGAGCGATTTATCTATGCTGATTTTGAAACGGTCTGAGTCCTTGGAACCGCTAGCTGTCCCCAGCAGCCCTGTTCAATGTCGTATGCAAATGTCCGACCCGCCTAATGGCCACCGCGCTGGCCGACACCCGCTGCCGGCGTGTTAACGTCAGGCTGAGTGACACCCGCGCTCTTTATCGGGCGCGCCATATCAGGGACTTGCAACACGTGTCCACGCGGCGCCGCCACTGCTGTTTTGCCGCTTTGCCCCCTCGGTTTTTTATTCGCAATCCGAATATATGTGATGCTTTGAGACGTGTGCGCTCTTTGTGGTTTCTTGAAACATTAAATAAGTCGGGTCCGCTGGTTGGAAGTAGTTGTGTTGGGTACCTGATTGCGCCCACCCGGTGCGTTCCAGAGAGATTTACTTGTTGGACGACCCGCTGGCGGCCGTGGACTCGCACGTCGGCAGGCACATCTTCCAGGAGTACATCCAGACGGCGCTGGCCTCCAAAACGGTGCTGTTCGTCACTCACCAGTTGCAGGTGTGGCATCGGACACGGGCAGAGGGCGCAACCTGCGGCCGCCTGCCGGGGCAGGGGCCGACACAGGCGGACTGGGATAGACCGGACCCACAGACACCCCGACCTGCGGCCGCCTGCCGGGGCAGGGGCAGACACAGACGGGCTAGGATGGACCGGACCCACAGGCACCCTAACCTGCGGCCGCCTGCCGGGGCAGGGGCAGACACAGGCTGACTGGGATAGGTCCCGGGCCGTGCTTCGTCGTGCCGGCGGCCGGGCGAGCACGGCTACAGCCCAGTGGCGTCCGCCGGCTGCTGCCGCCGGGTTACGGAGCGAGCGGGCCGCCATCTCAGCGTGAGGCTGAATCGCCGCCGTCAATCACTGCGAACGTTTCCAGCCAGCCTGAAGGCCGCACGCGCTGCTCATCAGCGCACGTGCACGCTCGGCTCGGACCGCACGCACGGGCATGCGTGCTTGCCTCATCGGAGGGACTGAAACCGTTTGGCCGGTGGTCGTGGGTGGCGAGGGCTGTTGACTTGCCGGTGTTTCAGCCTGTGATGTACCTTTTTCAAAGTTTGGCTCCGTCCTACACGGCCAATCCGCGGCGCCGGTGTGGCTGCTGTGCAAGCAGCTCTGTTCTCTGCAGTTCTGCGCACCCGTGTTGGTTAACCTGATCATCATAAGATATTCGTCGCGATGGGTTACGGTTGGTGAGGGAGACATCTGCGGTCTAGCTTCGCTAGTACACCCTCGGACCAACTGGCGGCAGATAACACGCTAACGGCTCACCATGCCGTCTCCCTGCGAGTGTTTGTTGGGGTGACGGTCTGTCGGTTTATTGAGATTGTGATGATATTTTTTTTGGCATTCCGCTCTAATTATCAGCGGCGTTGAATTATGTCATGTCGCCATGGCTAGTGTTGGTCTCGGCTGGCTTTTCAACTGGGTGAAACCAGTTGCTGCCACTTTCCGCTATGTACCGGTCAAAACCGGCTTCAATTGACAGAAACGCAGGAAGCCATAATGTCGCTCATTTCACCAATTACGTTGATATTATTTAGTCAGTGTTTCTCGTGCAGTTAACAGACCAGCAACAGTGCACTGGTACAATAGCGGGGTTCACTGGCGGTGGATTTCGATTGCGATTCTCTACTAAACATGTCCCTGTCGGGCGTGACAAGCTACCACTCAGATGTATGAATTCATCACTCAGCAGCTAAAGGTGATGCTTAATGTCAGGCAAATAAACTTCACAGATGATGGGCACATTCAAAATTTGCTTCAAGTCAATAAATAATAGCTGATACCTCAAATTTTGATTTCAAAATTGTTAGACTTAATGCACATGTTTTCATCGGTAAAAATACAAAAAATGCATAAAAAATAATGCATCAGCCAACTTTCATTGAGAGACTGTTTTAGTGGGCTGCTGTCAAGTCTAGTCTGACCCGGACCTGACCTGACCTTGTGTCAGGTACATCACCGTAACTCGCCTGATGCCGTTCGCCTGACCTGATCTGATCGCACTGTATAGGAACCGATCCAGTGCGGTGACGTCTAACCGTGCAGAGTCGAACCTGAACTGACCTGACCTGGCATGACCCATATACTGCGGTATGCATTTCTTGACTCCCTATTGTAGAATCTGATCCATTGTGGCGCTGTCTGACTGGGCTTTCTGGCACAGTACCCGAACCGACATGATTTCATCTGCGTTACTCGTCCTGGTCCTGTCCAACCTGACATGACCTTGCACGACTTGATAGTCTGTTACAGACGCCGTTTGGGAGACGTGACCTGACCTTCCCTGACCTGGCATGTAGTACCTAAGCCGGTGCGACGCCGCGTGCCCGACCAGCCGTGATCTGCTGCGTTATTCAGAGCCAGTGCGATGCCGTCTGTCTGACTTGACCTGACCTGGTGATAGCGCGACCTGGCACAATATGTTGTAGTACCAGAGCCAGTACGCCGCCTGACCTGACCTGATCTGGCCCGCTGCAGTACCCTGAGCCAGTGCGACACCTGACCTGACCTGACCTGATCTGACCCGCTGCAGTACCTGAGCCAGTGCGACACCTGACCTGGTCTGGCCCGCTGCAGTACCTGAACCAGTGCGCCACTGACCTGACCTGGTCTGGCCCGCTGCAGTACCTGAGCCAGTGCGCCTCCTGACCTCACCTGATCTGGCCCGCTGCAGTACCTGAGCCAGTGCGACACCGTCTGCCTGATGAAGGAGGGTCGGATCGTGGAGAGCGGGTCGCACGAGCAGCTGGTGGCAGCCGGCCGCGAGTACGCCGCTCTCATTAGCACCTACGTGCAGGAAGAGGACGAGGAGGAGGCGCAGCCGGGCGAGCCAGACACGGACCTGCTGCTGGAGGTGGCCGCATCAGGGTAGGTCGGCGACGGGTCCGCACTCGCGCTGAGGGGCAGGGGCGACGAGTGGGAGACGCTCGAACCACGCACAGGTGGCTCGGATGGTTTGTGCGTAGGCGGTGGTGTTGGCCAGCCGGGCGGTACGCGTGTCCCGTGGCGGCTGCTGACCGACTGACGCTCGGCTGTGACCCACGGCCGGCTGGTTCGGTCAGCCACTGGTGGCTGCTAACAGACTGACGCTCGGCTGTGATCCACGGCCGGCTGGTCTGTTTGATCAGCCTCTGGCGGCTGCTGACCGATTGACGCTCGGCTGTGACCCACGGCCGGCTGGTCCGGTCAGCCTCTGGCGGCTGCTGACCGACTGACGCTCGGCTGTGATCCACGGCCGGCTGGTCTGTTTGATCAGCCTCTGGCGGCTGCTGACCGACTGACGCTCGGCTGTGACCCACGGCCGGCTGGTTCGGTCAGCCACTGGTGGCTGCTAACAGACTGGCGCTCGGCTGTGACCCACGGCCGGCTCGTCCGGTCAGCCTCTGGCGGCTGCTGACCGACTGACGCTCGGCTGTGATCCACGGCTGGCTGGTCTGTTTGATCAGCCTCTGGCGGCTGCTGACCGATTGACGCTCGGCTGTGACCCACGGCCGGCTGGTCCGGTCAGCCTCTGGCGGCTGCTGACCGACTGACGCTCGGCTGTGATCCACGGCCGGCTGGTCTGTTTGATCAGCCTCTGGCGGCTGCTGACCGACTGACGCTCGGCTGTGACCCACGGCCGGCTGGTTCGGTCAGCCTCTGGCGGGCTGCTGACCGACTGACGCTCGGCTGTGATCCACGGCCGGCTGGTCTGTTTGATCAGCCTCTGGCGGCTGCTGACCGACTGACGCTCGGCTGTGACCCACGGCCGGCTGGTTCGGTCAGCCTCTGGCGGCTGCTAACAGACTGACGCTCGGCTGTGACCCACGGCTGGGTGGTCTGTCTGATCAGCCTCTGGCGACTGCTGACCGACTGACGCTCGGCTGTGATCCACGTCCGGCTGGTCTGTCTGATCAGCCTCTGGCGGCTGCTAACGGACTGACGCTCGGCTGTGATCTACGGCCGGCTGGTCTGTCCGATCAGCCTCTGGCGGCTGCTAACGGACTGACGCTCGGCTGTGACCCACGGCCGGCTGGTCTGTTTGGTCAGCCTCTGGCGACTGCTGCGCGTGAAATAGCCTACTGTGCGGGTTGTGGTGCATCCTGCGTTGCAGCGGAAGGTTTGAACAAGAACTTGGTGTCGCTCGTATATATCTGTCGGGTCCGGTTTTCTCAGGCTTAATCGGCGTCTTGCCATCCAAGTTATTGTTTCCATAAATGTAGATAAGCTGTGGATAACGGCATGTTTGACGGTAATTGTGGATAGCCTTGTCACCTATTTTACCAAGGTTGGGACTGAAAACTGCCGAACTGGCTTGCTACGCCTGTTATGAGTTATTTGCCACGCCAAAACGCGACACCATGCAGAAATGTACTCTTTGAAGAACGCATACTGTGGTCCGAAGTCGTGTGCCACACTGACAACTGGAGGTCCAGTGTTTCATATTCGTGGTCCCTCGTTTGAAAAGTCATGGGTTTTTGGTGGGTGAATGGATCATCATGCACATTATATGTCATTTAAGTACAAACACCGAGCTTCCTGGTCAGTGCAAACTCTCTTGATATCTACAGAAAGTTAGTGAAGGCTATTGCAGCTGCTGTTGCCCTGTCCTCCAATTATCTGCCTTGTTTTGTGATCCAGAGATAGCGTGAGCAGTTTGCTGAAGTGAGTTCACGCATTCATTGATCATGCTTTCTTAGTCAAGTTTCCTTGCATGATATGTATTCAGTTCACATGCATGTGCGCAGCTTCAGACCCTACTGAAACGGCTGTCTATGCGTTTTCAAGAGGTCGCGGCGGTCGCTGAGAGGCGGGTCCACGAATTTTACTTTTGAGAGGATCGCTCTGTTGCCAATGTGAGGACATTCGAGGCAGCGGCGCAGTACTGGACGGGAGCTTGCCGTGCCTCGAGGACTGGCGAGACAGCACGCGGCAGCGGACAGCGTCCCGGCGCGCGGCGGTTCGTACCGACATCAGGCCGTGGACCGGCGCAGTACACCGGCGGCGGGTGTGTGCCGCACCTCCCACATCTACGGCAGCTGTCTGCGGCGGGCGCGGCGCGGCCGGCTAGGCGTCCTGGATGTTGACCTGCTCGGTCAGCTTGGGGATGACGTCGCCCTCGGGCCGGAAGCCCTTCTCGTCGGCGATGTAGGTGATGGAGGTGATGCTGCCGTCCGGGTGGACGAACTCGTAGCTGCCCGACATCACGTACTTGCCCGACTCCGGCTCGGGCGCCCGGGTACGAGATTCCCGACTCCTCGCGCAGAATGTTGTTGGAGGTCTCGAACCTGCGGGGATGCGGGGAGCACAGTCAGCCGGCGCTGCTGGGCCGTTGTCTCGCCACTACGCTGCTCCTGACACATTTATTAGGATGAGTTTGCAACACAGGCTGCCGGCTTAACAACTGCTCTTGTATTTTGCTGCATCACTGGCGGATAACTCCATCAGGGTGTACACACCTGGTAGGTGGTCGTTACTCAGCATTGGCGCAGTGGGTAATAGCAGGGATTACGCAAACCATCTAGTGATGTAAGCGAATGCTCTGGGGATGACGGCCAACTCAGCCCGGCTCTACGTCTGCAGCGTGCTCACTCACTGGAAGTCGTAGGATTGGTCGCTGCGCAGGTCGTTCTCCTGAGTGAGGATGCTGGCGGATTTGTCGGGCCGGGCCGCGGCCACGGCCACCAAACACAGGACGACAAACTGCGGACAGAGTGGGGCGCGAGCCGTGACGCACGCGGTGGGCTGCTAGCTGACGGTCGGACACGGCGAGGGGGTCGGCGGACAGTTTGACAACCGCTGCGGGGTATCGGTCGAGGGCCGGGCACGGCTGCGGGGCCCTGGCTAAGGGTGTGGCGGCCGAGGAAGTCAGAGATCCGAGAGAAGTCGAATCGGATGGTCGCGCTCGGCAGCAGCCTGGATATGGTGGCCCGCCCTCCCATGATCTTGTATGGACTCGAGAATGGGACCTAAGTGTCTGGGCTCCCTGAGGTCCCTCCGCCTTTTGTCTGTCCGTCCTCGAAGCACCCACCCACTAGCGGGAGGCACGTAGCCCCTGGCCAGTCCACAGCAGCTGCTCGTGTGTCGGCACGGTGGAGCTAGAGCCCCGAGTCGATGCTGACCCCTGACCTGACCGCCGGCGGCCGTCCTCCCCACATCACGCAGCGCCGCACCCCCACCCGGGCCGTCACCCGGGCCGTCTCCGGGGCACTCACGAGCTTCATGGCTGGCGGCGGGCGGACTGGTGACCCCCGCTCCGGCCGTCGTCGTTATATAGGTCCGCGCCACCATCAGATGGCCCGCGGTGGCCACACGGCGGCCTCGCCGTCGTATGCATGATGCGCCTGCCGCGATCGGGGGCGTTATTTAGTGTCGACGCCAGCCGGGGCGGGTGTCGGGTGGCCGCCGGCCGAGCCGATGACGACGATAGGGCCGGCGGCTGCGACGCTCCGCCCTCGCGGCTCCTGATGTCACCCGCGTCGGCCGGTCACGGAACATCCCTGTCGGCGACCGGGAGGCCCTGGCCGGCGGAACGGGAGGCGAGAGCGGCAGGGCAGGGGGGGGGGGGGAGGGAGGCCGCAGCGGCCGCCAAGTTCGTGCCAGAGTCGTCGTGGGCGGTGTGTCGCACCTGCACCACGTGCACAGGATCTGCTGTGATCACTGGCTGACTCAGCTGGGCACTGCTGGGGCCATTTCTTGCGGATATAGCGGTCTCGTGCGGCTGAGGCATGTTGAGAGACCGAGCACAGGTAGTCCCGTCTGTGGTGAAGGCGGTCCGATGGGCGGTGTCAGTCTGGCGTAACCGACACGGTTTGGGGGCTGGAGGACGTGTAGCCCGCGAGACAAGGTGTCAGTCTGACACACACCCGCAGAATTGTCGTCCAAGGGCTGCCTCCTGGACCGAACGATGGCCTTAAAGAACAGCGTCTCTTCGAGGAATCGACCACACACGGTCTTCTGAACAGTGTGCCAGTGTGGGAGAGGCTTTACCCATTGTGTCACCGATAACAGTCAACCTCTTGCAGAGGCGTCACTTTATATAGTTTTTTGGGGGGAGCTGCCCCCCCCCCCCCCCCTCCCCCGATGCTGACGTGAGCACCCTCAATGCTTTGAGTCCTCCCAGACATGCGGGGAAAAAGGAGATTACGTAGCTAATGAAATGCAGCAAACTGATATGCCGGGACCTAAGTACCTAAACACATTACTATTACTGTATTTCTTTGTGTCATGCGGTATCATGTTTGTACCTAGTGTTTACGTCATGCCAACTTCCCCGTATGCTGGGCCATTTTGCGAAATATAGGCAGGTTTTTTCCGGGATAGCCCAGGCAGAATAGGACAAAAGTAAACTGTAATATATGGCAGGTTTCTTGGGGAAATACAAGTTGCATAAAGTTTTCATTAACAGTGGCAAGTGTGTTTGTCGCGCGATCGTTACTGCGGTGGCATTTTACTGTCAATTCAATGGCAAAACACTAACAGTTGGCCACAGGGCCGTAGCATTGGAGACTCCACGTCGTTAAATGGGAACGACAAAGATTTCCACAAGTTGGCCCCCTGGTGGTCCAGTATGTGTAACAGAGGGACCAGCTGCAGGCGGTCGGTTGTCTTGTAGATGAACATCGACGGCGATGCGTTCCATCTGAAGTCTGAAGGCAACCTTGGGCTCTGGAAGGTTCGCTGGGTTGTCCATGCTGGCGGGGATCTTTATGTTGCCCTACGGCAAAAATCCAGCGGCGACAGGTCGGCTAAGCGCGAAGTCACTCCGCAGCTGTCTCAAGCTGCCGTGCGTGTGAGCGAAATGCCTCCTCAGCCAGCCCAGTGAGGCCCGTGCCATGTGCGGTGTCACTCCGTCCTGCTGGAGCCCCTCCTCGTCCCGAACAAGCCCATGGAGCGCCCTCTGAGCCGCCCAGAGGGATGTCAGGGCGGGTCGCAGGGTAGCGCTCTGAGATGGTGTTTCACGGGGCCGTTAGTCTCGTCCTCAGAACATCTTCTGCAGATTCACGATTTGAACAAATGTGCGATCACTGATGACTTCTATTGTTTTGAGCACGTTTTGTCATCGGATGGTCATTCGAATCCCCGCCTAGTATTCATTGTGCGGGAAGTGCACTTGTCACTGTTGAGTAAAACGTGGATTAACTCTTGCCTATGCCACTCTGCATAGACGTCAGTTTCACATAGATGCAGTTTGTTGTTGTTCAGGTTTCCCCATTGCAAACCTGATACCGTCGTATTGCTTAACAGAGATTTTACGGCACAGCCGGAAAACCTCACTCAGTCCTCTGGGCATGGGTTCACACGGAAAAAATATTTTAGAAGCATTACGTTCGCGTGGCTACGGACCATAAGATACTTACACCGCTCTCCGCATTTGTGATATAAGGACTGCTTTCTCAGCGGTCTTGGTTTGCGCTGCATCGTAATGCGTCATGGTTAGAGCGGCCGCGATTTTGTTTTAAATATGTAGTCCAGGCCTTTTGATGGTGTGTATTTCTGTGGTGAGCGTTTACGCTGAGCATTGCTTGTTGCGTAGGCCCCCGGCTCCATTCGATTGTAAAATTCAGCGTCAGCTGCAAAATTCTGTGGCGAAAGCTTAACGTAAGCTTGCTCGGCTCGGCCCGCCCTGCTCTGTGACGTCACCAGACCGTCAGCGCGGCCCCTGCCACCGGCCGTAGGCTGTTCCAGTCACGGTCAGGTAGCAAACGCCTGAAGCGATTCAAACCCGCCCCGAAAAGCAGGCACATTAATCAACCGGGCCGTCGGGGCGGCCCGCTGCATCTCTCGGGACAGGACGGCTCAAAGCATGGTTTGTCGGTATATCTCCCACCTGGTTTTACCACAACACAAATTGTGTCGAGGAATGGAATCATCGAATTTTGTGTGGGGGTTTTCCCTAGAATTTTGTGTGGGGTTTTCCCTAGTGAGTCAGCTTTTGGGATAGTGTTGATCGGTTTTCAGAGCAACTTTGATCATGAGCACAACTGGCGAGCGTTGGGTTTTCTCAATATAGCCAATATGTTTTGATGGCACCGCTTGGCCACAATCTTCGGTCGTAATGAAGGTCGACTGTTTTAATTTATAGCGTCGAAACACCAAGAGTTCAAGGGCTTTCTTGCTTATGCAGCTTCTACCAGGTGTCAAGGGGTTGTTTGCGCTCCTTTTTCCAACGGTGACCGGCTACCACACAGCCAGCAGCCTTAACCTGCTAGGTCTCCAATGGTCTGCATGTCCGTTGAGAGGGTCGTGCATCTCGTTTTCATGTTTTATGTAGGTGGTGGTAGTGGACATGAATTTGCTATAGCCTCTCGTTTGTACATGTCAGGTCATATGATTTAGCATAAAACGGTAATCGGGAGCCTCAGGAAACCATTGATGACGGAAAAAACACACCTATCGTGTTTATCACGGCAAGTCAATTTAATTACACTCCTCTCTGCATTACCAAAATGTGCTCCACATCTGCTTCAAATGAAAAGTCATTTTCAGCGTTAAAACAATGTCAGCGATGAAAGCTAACGTAATGGATTTAATGCTTGAAAATTGGATATCGTTGTGAAAATTAAACCGGCCGAAATCCAGGGGAAATTGGACATGGTTGGGGCCAGGTCAACTTCGTCGGCTCAGCCTCTCCTATTGATTTTAGAAGGTGACAACCCCTGGTTTCTTGGGGCCTCTGTGACCGAGCGTCCACTGGTCTTCGTCTCCAGATTTCTCAGTCTCAGTTTGCCTGTTCACGTCCGTCGGAGACGCCAGTCGCGTTGGTCTGGCGGCTGGTCGGACGGCGATAGTATCGCTCCGCGGGGCTGGGGCTTGGAGCGAACTGCCTTTACGCTTCAGCTGCATGTCTCCAGCCTACCCAGCGTGGTAGCCAGCTTGCCCAGCGTGGTAGCCAACTTGCCCAGCGTGGTAGCCAGCTTGCCCAGCGTGGTAGCCAGCATGCCCAGCGTGGTAGCCAGCTTACCCAGCGTGGTAGCCAGCTTGCCCAGCGTGGCAGCCGGCGTGCCCAGCAGCTCGCGAGTGGGGTTCGCACGGTAGTCCGTGATCCGATGTTTATGGGTAATGGATCGTGTCCGACCGGCGGAGCTCTGCGTAATCGCCGGTGGAGCGGTGTTCTGGGTGGCAGTTTTTGCGAGCGTGGCTGGCCCTGGACGCCCGGCGGATGCATATCTTGGTACAAATGGCCTCATGTCAGATGTCATCGCTGCTGTAAGGCTGTATGTATTGACGTGCTGCCATCAAAGTGATGCACGAAGTGTACGACATGGCCGCCTGTCTCATCCATTTCATCGGCATATCTCAAAAGCTGACCTTAGTAGCATTTGGAATGTCAGTTGGGAAAGGGGCCGAAGAGACCAAACGCCATTCCAAATGTTGCAGGAATGTTACAAACATCCTAAATGTTACAGAATTCGTGGCACAAGCGGTAGCTCCGTTAGCCTTTTGCGATTGCCGCTAACATTGAATGCGCGTCATAACGAGATACGCAGTATGGATATGAACAAAACATGGTCATGTGTCGCGAAATTCCCAGATTGGTATGAACAACTATAATTGTTCCTTAGCAGCTGATCTCAGGCGTTGCTGGCAATGCAGTTGATAAGGTGCCTGCGACATACCAGGGAAACTGGATCGCCGGTACAGGACGGGAAAACATGACATGTTGGATCTGCTTGTATTGTGACCCTAGAGTGGTGCGGCGAAGCTGAGAGTCTGTCCTGCCGTGGTTGGGTTGATGGATAGCACTGGACGATCCTTCAGTCCCATGTCCGCCAGGCTGGGCGTCGGCATAGAGATGCCGACTTATTGCATTTTATTGTTTATGCGTGGAGTTTAGTGTGCTCATAGTATTTCTCCGGGCCTCACTGATTACACAATGTGGGTGGATAACGGGTATGACGACTACGCCGTCCTATGTCTCTTGTAAAAGATGTCCAGTATTCCTTTGGCTGTTATATATTTTTGCCCACGTACATACCAATATTGCTCACAAACCACCTGCCCACTGCGGCATCATCAGCCTGTGTCGTTATCGTGAGCCAGAGCTGGCGGGCTGGCTCACGTGGCGGGCGGCCGGTCCCGGCACTGGAGGTGCCCCAGCCGCGGCCGCCGGCGGCAGCCCGCCGTCGTGAGCCAGAGCTGGCAGGCTGGTTCACGTGGCGGACGGCCGGTCACGGCGCTGGACGTGCCTCAGCCACGGTCGCTGGTGTCAGCCCACCGTCGTGAGCCAGAGCTGGC